ACATAATCAAACCCACATGACAAAGCAACAGCCCTGAAAGCTACTGACAACAGGAACTCGGCTCTTGAGTAAATTACCATATCTCGAAAACTCTGATGCCAAAATTCACTGTAAATTTCTGTTTATCCTCACAATAAAGAATTTGGAGATGGAGACTTTAATTACTCCGAAGAACCCGGGCGACAACTCATCCTCCACAACTGTTAGTAAATACTACACAAATTACCGTTTTGCCCTTTTCACCATTGAAGTGCACCTAATGACATTCCTGCAAAATAAACAGACTACGTAACCTGTTAGTATTTAGCGGATGCGAAAATGAGATGCTATGCGACATGAATCGACTAATCTGAGGGTAAAATTTGGGGTATTACACGGAGCAATAAAATTTTAACTAAAATAAAACTATAAAATCTATGATCTTTGGAAGTCCCCGGCAACGGCGCCAAAAACTTGATCAGAAAAATAGCAAATGTACTATTTTTCCAATGTAGTAATAAAAGGGAATTTTCCCGAATGTCGATCTCAAGGACTGATTGACGATATAAAGTTCTGGTTTTATTTTAGTTAAACAAAAGCTTTGGGATTTTGAATTTTTTTTGTTTAATTATAAAAATATTTAGAAGTAAAAGAGGGAAATTGACTAACTGGTTTTAAAATATATATATATATATATATATATATATATATATATATATATATATATATATATATATATATATATATATATATATATATATATATATATATATATATATATATATATATATATATATATATATATATATATATATATATATATATATATAAAAGTAACATGCTAGGGGAAGTGTGTGATTCGACTCAGTAACAACTCTGAATTAACACTGCAATAACTTATTATAACTAACTAATTATCAATTCTTTAGAGTGTTTACTCATATGTCCTTAGTGAGAAAACCTTTAATCATCCACCCTAATTCCTATGTCCATAGAGAATTATAAATGAAATTAAGCAATCAATCATCAAGAATATTCTGATTCCTATAGGGTATCCCTAGTCCTAGGTGATATCTACTACAAAATGATCCAAAGCAAAGCATTAACAACGGAGGTCCAGCCTAATCGTTAATCAAAAATCAAACCCTGTTGGTCTAACAGGGCAAGCATTAAGAATAGATAGAGATCAAATCAGTTATGAAAACAAAGGAAATGTTATTACAATACTAATATCATAGTCATTGCAGATTCAAATCAGGGACACCCCCTAACATTGGGGTGTTTAGCTACTCATATTATTCGAATAAAATACAAAGTAAAAACTAGACATTACAAGATAATAGGTTTCTTTGATATTCAATTGCTTCCGCTCATGAAAACTGTAACACCCCAAATTTTATTGGAATATTTATTTAATTTATTTAAATAAGAATATTTGCATATTTGGTAATTTTCGGGGGTTTGTTGTGGATTACTGAGAATTGTGGATTTTTGGAATTATTTATTTAAATAATAGTATATAATATGAATATATTAGTATTATTATTAATTTTAAATAAATATAAGTTAACTAAGGGCAAATTGGATAATTGAGGAGGAGTTAGTGGGGGTAATATTGGAAAAGCCCAAATCATAGGCCCGAGGTTAGGTTTAACAAAAAGGGAATTGTGATGGAATTATGATTCATTTTTGTTAGACTGTGAAAAGAATTGAGGCCAGAGCTCTGAGGAGGAGATTTGAGGCAAAAGCTTCGAAAGGTTTTCTGAAAGATTTGAGAAGGCTTAGAGTCGGCAATTAAGATATGGGGAGTATTGTCTTCATTGTTTTCAATGTGTAATTTCAATGTATTTAAGGTCGATTTAAGGGTTTAAGGGTTTGAGGCTGATTATGAGATAAAGGGAATATGGCCTTCATGGCCTAAATCTATTATTGAGATTTTAACCGTAGAGATTTATTTGGGTTAGAGGAAATTAGGCCTTCGTGGCCAAAACTCTGATTTGACATTTGTCTAACCCTGTAGAGAAATTAGATAGTGAGAAACTCTAATGATTGTGGTGTAGTTGTAAGGATTTATGGGATTTAGAGCATGAATATGATACGGGATTGGTCTAATAAGTCGTAGATTTTGTGTCTTTATCGCTGTAAGACCTTAGGGATGATTTAGGGATGTTTTTGGGTTATTGGGGAAGTGAATCGTGGGACTTTTGGGTTGATTTTAAATTCTGGTGCGTAACAGCGTTTTGCTGTCATCGCGTGTTCACACAGCGAACTTGCTAGCGAATGTAGCAGAGTTTCACGAATTCTGATTTTGTGCAACGATGCCTTGATGTTTTGATGTTGTGATTTCTTTGACGAATGAATATGAGTATGACTGTGAATTCTATGTGATTATTATGTCATTTATTTGTGGGGTAGAAAAGGGTGTTACAAAAACCTTTAGTTCCCCAATCACCTTGATCTCTCCAATCTTGATCGTGTAATTCTTCTCTGGCCAAAAAGTTCTTTTTTCCTTCTCAAAACATATCTTAAATACTTCCAGGTCCAACACAGTAATAGGAAAATACCCAAATTACTCTTAGGGATCACAAAGGTTACAAAAATAAAAAATTTGGAAGATGAAGCGCTTCAGCCAACACGGGTCGTGTCAGCTGACACGGGCGGCCACGTTGGCCCCCTGGATGTCTGATGAAAATAATGTCTACTCCAGACTTGCTAACATGGGCCGTGTCAAGTGAAACGGGCACCCGTGTCAGTCTACTGTCTAACACTCAATTTTCTTTCTCTTGGTACCGTCCTGACACAGGCCGTGTCAGGCCATTGTTTCCCTTTAAAAACTCTTTCGAATTCCTACTGTTTTTCCTGGTTTTTGCCCTGGTTCTTCTTGATTGCTTACCTAAATCTAAAAACAATGGAAATACTAAACCAACGCATAAAATGTGATAAAAGAAAAAGACAATTAACTATAACTTATGGTAAAATAACGTATAAAAATCACTGATCAGGAGCCTATATAAAGGGGGCGAGGTTTTATTTCACACCATAAAGATTTCTCTTCTCCTTATCTTTCGCTCTGCAACACTTTCATTGTCAAAGATCTCGTCGTCGCTGTTGCCCCTGTCATCACAAGATTTTCATCTTCAACCTCTGAATATTCAAGTAAGTTCTTCGATTTCTATGAATTTCTGCAACTTGTTCTTGAATTCACCGGTAATTCATGAATTTTCCGGTTGAAGTTCATGCGTCTCTTGAAGAACACATGAACTTTTCTGAGAAATTCATGAAGGCTTTGTAGAACTTAAGATTAGGGTGTTGTATGCTTGTAGATCTTCCTAGGTAATTGTGTTGGATTGTTTTATATTTATCGTCGGGCAGGGGTGTCCTCGTAGCTGAGGGCTTTGCTTTTGGATTCCCGACGGGTTAGGGTAATTGCGGGCTTCTCCCATTTAGGATCTTTATAAGTAGCGGGGACGTATCCTCGGTGTCGTTGACGTGTCTCACTGAGATCTCATGTCGTTGATAAGGGCCTGAGTTGGGGAGACATCCTTGCACTTAATCCTTTCCCTTTCACTTGATTTGTGGTGGAAGGGTGGATTTGATCTTTATCGAATTCACTGTTGTTTCCTCGGCTTTTCAGGTGAAATGGTTGGTCGTGATGAGGGAACTGTCCCCGAAGTTGGGGTAAATATTCACGAAGACGTGCCTCCCGCTGAGTATGCTAATGTGCGGGTGGCTGAAGGGGATCTTAGTTGGATCGCCCAGGAACCCCTTGTGACGAAATTCACATTTACCGAGGAGGAGGTCAATAACTTCGATCTCCTCGAAGATAAAGCTGAAGATGTGCATATGAGTTGGAGGGCGATTAGTCCGACGAAGAACGACCGGATATGCTCGGTGTATCTGGGGAGGAGATTTCCCATGTATGAATTCGCTTTTAGGGAAGCGGGGTATCGTTTTCCCTTTACGGATTTCCAGGGGGAGATATTTTTCCACCTCGAACTGTATCCTTCCTAGCTTCACCCGAACGCTCTAGCGTTCATTCGAGCATTTGAATTGGTGTGTCGTTACTTTCAGATAGGGGCTACCGTGAAGCTCTTCTTTTGCATCTTCCAGCTGTAGAGGAGCATTTCGGAAGCGAAGCAGAGTTGGGTGTCTTTCAAGCAGCAGAGCAGGCTGTTATGGTCGTATTCCAAGTATGTCCGAAATTTTAAATTTTAGTTTTTGGTCGTAAATCCCCTTTTCGAAGCGGCCAAGAGCTCTTTGGTCACGATGGAGACGCAAGGAAGATGGTCGGGAAGTGGTGCGTCCCGTGTCAAAGTTTCCCTTCAAATGGGTGTACGCTCATTTCCGGTATAGGACAGACCAGTTCCTTGTGAAGCACGACCAACTTTGCTCCGAGGATAAGAAGTATTTTCGAGCGCTGACAACGTTCGTTGAAAGCTTTACCCCTGCTGTTGTCGTGGATAAGGATGGCAATATACTCTGCTCTGAAGATGGGGAGCCTGCTCGGGCGACTCGTTACATAAATACTAAAGCCCTTCTTAATTGCCAGACTAAGGCCGAGGCTATCGAGCTTCTAGGTATGAGATTAAATCGAATTAAATCAAATATTCTTAACCAATTATTTAAAACTAAACCGTGAATAATTTTATATATTGCTCTAATTTGAAAAAGAGAATTGATATTCCTAAATATGGATATAACATTCCTTCAATATTCCATAGTGTATTCCAAATGTAATTCATTTATATATAATAGAACTTTTGTAATACTATTCAGATCCTATTCAGACACAACGGTCTCTACCAAAAAGCCTATTACTTACAAAAGGAGTTTGCATGAATGCAGTCCCCCCATCCCTTTCTCTGTAATGTTGACAGATAAGTAATAGTCAAAAAAATGTATCATGTTGTATAATAAGAACTAACTATGTATTTCACCAAAACAAAACTATGTAATTGACTGCTAATCATCCTAATTTTTCTGTGCTCATACTTTCACCTTTAGACCTATTTAGTTCTGCCTCATTTTGAATATTCTCGGGTCTTCCGATTGCGGTCTTTGATCATCTGATGCATATTGTTTGATGGAAACTTTAATGGACCAATCATATAGAGATTGTTTTTGCAGGTTGTGCGCCCGTCCTGAAAAAGAGGGTAGTATTTATATTCAGCACAAAGCAAGAATGCATAACAAATGTATACAAAATTCAGCATTGTTGATGGCTAGCAAATGTTTTCACCGACAAATGCTAATGAGAGTTGATGTATGTTTCAGTGGGGAGACATACCTTTCCATTTTTTGTTTGGCTGAGATCGGTTTTTTGTGAATGGCGATTTTTATCATGCCGTCTTTTTGACTCTGATCCATTACTCAACCCTGAAGATTTTGGTTCTTGAATTGTATCTCTTGGTCTCAAGGGAGCTGGATTTTCTTTTCGATTTCCAGAAAACAAAGTCGGAGATGGTTTTGAATCTTTTGATAGGTTGACTTTATTTGAAAGAGGAAGTGATTGCTCACTAGCTTCCTTTCCAACTTTGTGCCGGCCAAATCCTGGAACGAGTAAACCTGAATGTAAAGGCTTCTGATAAAGAGGCCCGGAGAAATAATTAACCGTTTCTTTAATATCTTCTGACTGTTTCTGAGGGGAATCCAGTAATCCAGATACCGACTCTCTGTGACGGCTGAATGGCCCATCATGGCCTGCCATGTTCGGAAAGCGTTGCCCATGCTACATGGAAAAAAAATGGATATGCAGGTTGAATTGAAATACAGTGCGAAATACAAAACTCTCGTAAATCCAACAGAGGAAGATCATAGAAGTTATTCTAACTTGCTTGAATTACCTTCATTGATATGCGAGCATCAGCATTGGCTTTGGATAGGACAAATGACTGAGTTTCTTTCTCTTGTCTACCTCGTGGCTCAAGTTTTTGCTCCTTTTCACCGAGAGCTTTGTGCCTGATACGATAAAGAAAATTCTAAACTCGTTAATAATATTCTTTGATAGCAAGTAAGGCTACCGTCTGCCGCAAATGGATGAATCAAGTGGTGCAGAAAAAAAGTCATATTTACTACGGAAAATACAATTACATGTAAATACCTACAAAAACTTAGAAGGAAAACATATGCATAATTTTGTGTTATACTATATGTAATGTATGTTAAAGTGAGGGAGCAATGAAGTTGCTTTTGTTCATATCAAAGATCTCAGCATTCTAATTAAAAAACAGTAGGAATCAATTCAAGAAAACAAGAAAAATTGAAATTATCATCCTACAAAAGATACCTTCTTGTTGATTCTTCCCGCATTTTAGTGTGAATCTCTTTGCTGGGTGGATATTTTGGCAATGCTGATGGATCGCAGGCAACAGGTTCCAATGAAAAGAACTGTCAATAGAAAAAGAAATATCAAAATGGAGAATCAATCAAGTGTGTCCCAGAAAGATATAAAGAAAATGTTAAAGAGTTTCACATTTGATAAGATATGGCCTGAATATGTGTTTATAAACGAGAGGTGTCCTCATCTTATAGGCCGAATTGTAATCACTTACCTCGTCATTCAGAGCTGTAGCTGCTGTTCCTCTAAGTACAGGATCTAAAGAGAGTAGGGTCTCTATAAGCTTCGTAGCAGCAGTTGGAAATTCTTTAAATGTATCTGCAATACAATTCCTATAATGGTGTGGAGGCCTGAATACTGTAGAATGTGGCAGCCGAAGTTTACGCCAGTAGTCCACCGATGGTGATCCACAAAGTTTAAAAATTCTATGTAATTGCTCAACCTACAAGAAACGAAAAAATCAGGTACCTATCTCTATTAATTCACAATTTTAATCGAAGAAATTTTGTGTAAACCAAAGTATCCTATGTGTGCAACTGCTGAGACTAAATTTTTGAAACAGTGTATAGGGATAAAGACCCGTTGACGATGTCAATTCTTAGGCAACAAAGTCAATAAGGTGAGTAAACAACTAAAACTAAATTTTTATGATGAATCATATACCTCTGTTTTTCCGGGCAATATAGGTCTTCCATAGTATAGTTCACCGAGTATGCAACCGGTGCTCCACATATCCACTGCAACTCCATAATTTGATGATCCAAGTAAAAGTTCTGGTGGTCTATACCAGAGAGTTACTACGCGGCTGGTCAATGGGGCACTTTGATCAGGGCAAAACGAATTCGCCAAACCAAAATCTGCAATCTTTAAAACGCCTTTATTGTCAATGAGAAGATTTGAGCCCTTTATATCGCGGTGGAGGACACCACGACTATGGCAATGATCCAATCCATTAAGAAGCTGCTTCATGTAGCATTTAACCTAACATACAAGAAACATCATTAAGAGCAAAGATCCCAAAATTCCTAAAGCTAAAAATTGTTAGGGGAAGTCAAATTAAAGGTTTTAATACATCTTTGACAAGAAAAATTGAGACTCACTCAATCAAAAACAAAAGAGTGAGAATAAAAGATATCATCGCTACCTGTGGTTCGGAAAACTTAATGCCAGGTGCTGTTGCAAGTCCTGTAAGATCATGCTCCATGTACTCAAAAACAAGATACATGCTACGAGACGTCGGTGATGTTATCAAGCCCTCCAACTTTATTATATTTGGATGGTCAAGCCTACGCAGAAAAACGATTTCCCTTGCCATGAAATTGACACTCTCATGATCAAGATTATCAAAGCGTACCCGCTTCAAAGCAACGATCTTTTGGTTAGTCAAATCACGTGCCTTAAAAACAGTACTGTAAGTTCCTTGTCCAATCTGCATGATAGAATGGTATCACATTACTCGTTTAAAAAACTCGACTTTCTTAAACAGTGTAATGTTTCGAGACTTTCGAAAAATGCATTCGCAATACAAAACCATAAACCAAGCAAACAAGGTGGCAATTTACTTACTTTATCATACTTCTCGAAAGTACTTGCACTCCGCGGTATCCATCCATCGATAGCTTCCCCAGCAACAGAAGAAAGCCAAGTTGGCCATCCTGCCGCAACTTGCTCTCCTTCTAAACCCTTTGGAACCCTTCCTCCAAAACTCGGATAATCAACAACAACGGCAAAATCCAATTCAGTTTTCTCCATCTTCTTCTTCTCATTCTTATCATTCTTATCTCCATCTTCTTCCTTGTCATTCAGTGAAACTCTCGCGCAAACCCCGTCCAATAACTCATCTTTCTTCAAAACTCCATCAACTCTTTTCTTCCTATCCAATCTTGAAACATTCCTATCAACATTCCTTTTCCTAGATGATTTCAAACCTTCCTTGCTGTCAACCACAGCTGATCTCTTGGAATTCACGCAACCCATTTTCAACACCAATCTACTAATCACCAGCATAAAACCTTCATGAAAGTCACAAACTAATACAATTCACACATAATTTCTCCAACAAAAAAAACGAAAAAAACAATAAAAATCACTTTTTTCTGTGTCTATCAGAAAAACTGAAACTGACCCAATTCAAAAGTCAGCGACTTTAATCAAATACACAACTAAGAACCCTTCAGCAGCGAATAAAAAACAGAAATAATATACAAAACTATGATATTGAATAATTAACGCGTAATCAACTAAGTAGTAATTAAGAATGAAACAAATAATTAAGAAGAAAAAGAAGAAGAATGTGATCCTTACACGACGGCTTTTGCCGACTAAGTAAGCTCAGTCAAAACTTAGACGTTTTCTTCTCTCATCTCATCATCCCATGGAGCTTCTCTGTGACGGTCGCAAATGGCAACAAGAGTATAGATTTTTTTCTTTCTCTTTCATTAGAATAAAAAATTAACAAAATCTAATTTTTGTTATAAAATATATTTTTTATGGTTATTTTAAGATAAAATTATTTTTATTTATAGAAAAATAATCAATTTATTTTTTTAATTTATACTTTTTCCTATTTAGTTCGAAAAGTATATACGGATAAAACCAACCAAAAAAGTTTCTATAGTAATACATCACATACATTGTTTTGTCTTTCTAAGTTAAATATATTTTTAATAAATTACCTTTTTAATTTTTTATATAAGTATTGATTTTTTTATCAAAGATAAATTATTTTTTATAAATCATTAAATAATTATTATATCTAATTTAAATATAAATTAAATATATTGATTAATTAATACATATAAAAATAAGAGTGAGTGGGGATAATTCAATTATGTTAATTAATTTTTATTGATATTTATAAAGAATTTAATTGTTATTATAGATTTTTTAGGGACTGTTGGTTAATCACAATTATTAATTTATTTAAAGGATTGATTTTTATTTTAACTATTTAAAAAATAATACAAATGGATTATTATACATTGTACATAATAATTAATCTCTTTTACAAAATTAATATAAAAAATAAATATAACAGTAAATTGTTTCTTAAAAATATTTGATATTAGAAAATTAATGTATTTATTGTTGTAAAAACAAAAATAGTATATTTGATATAAATATTAAATATGAATACTACAATATGTTTAAATTTAATTGAATACTAATATTTTTATTTAATAAAGTAATAATATTTAATATTATATTATATTTTAATATTATTTTATTTTGAAATAATTAAAATTAAAAATTAATTTATATCAAAAATATTGATATTCAACTAAGATTAATATTTTAAAAATTGAATCGAATCAATCAATTAAATTGATTGGATTGAAAATTAGAGTTGATTTCGATTCAGTCAACGTTTGATATAAAAAAATAAATATAAATTGTTTGTTAAAAATATTTCTTATTAGAAAACAAGTGTATTTATTATTTATGTGGACAAAAATAGTACTCCCTTTATCTCAAATAAATATAATACTTGACGTTTTCATAAAGATTAAAAAAATATTTTAAATAAAAATAATAATAATAATTTTATCAAATTATATTTATAAACTATTAGTATATTTGAATTAACATTAATGGAAAGTGAAAAAATAATAAATTAAAAAAATTAATTTAAAAATTAAATTGGAAAACTAAAATTAAAATTGTATAGATAAATATAAAATTAATGGGACATTTATTTTGATGTTGATAGAGTAGATTTAATATAAATATTAAAGATGAATATGTTTAAATTTAATTAAATACTAATATGTTTATCTAATAAATAATAATATTCAATATCATATTATATTTTAATATTATTTATTTTGAAATAACTTATATTTTAAAATTTATTTGTATTAAAAATATCTATATTCAACTAAAACGGATAGATATGAAGATATTTACCAACTAAATTGAATTACACGTCTTATCTTATCTTTCGAACTCTTTCTATATTTTCACATTTTAATTAATATACATTCTTCTTTATATAGATTAGTCCTAGGATTTGATATATCTACCTATAGAAGGTTTTAACACATTGTTTCCGCTACCTAGTGGAAATAACATTCATATTATAAATCCAACATCCAAATCAATTTGGGTATTGGAAATTTGAAATAGAATTTTTTTTTTTTTACAAATGGAACAAAACCTTTTTTAAGGATATGAATTTTATGTAAACACAAGATTATTTACAAACATTATGTATTGGTTTATTTTGAACTATATTCTAAAAACCTGTTTGATTTGATTTTAAAAAATTGCTTTTTAATTTTTAAATTTTTTATTTAAAAAACAAAAACTTATTGAGTAGCTTCTTTCTAGAAACAGCTTTTCAAAACAATATTCAATTTTACAATTTTAAAATCTAAAAACTAAATTAGTATAAAGGAGTTTTGATTTTTAATTTTATTTTTCACTTTAAAAAAATTTAAGGAATACAAATCGAAGAGTAATCACTTTTTATTAATGGTAATATTTAAATTAATTTTTGTTTTGGACTAGGTCGAGATCTTCCCCTCAGTTGGTCAGGTCCAATTCAGTACCACGATGGAGAGGTCCAACAAGGTTCAATCCTCTCCTATCGGGCACGTACCTCAACAAGACATCTTAGTCTGGCAGACCATTGTCCTACAAGGGAATAGCTCACGTGCTTTCCCCGCGTTCTCCATGTGTCTCCACGCGGGGACACGTCATCAGGCAACTACCCACTTTCGAAAGAGATGGTCAACATACCTTCCAAAGATCACGGGGCAGTTGATCCAGGGCGAAAACCACGTGTTGGTCTCCCTTACGCCACGTAAGCCCTGGCAGTTACTTGTGTTGGGTTTGACAATCCGGCCCAATGCAATGTAACTGTTGGCCTTGCGCTGAGGGCACATTATAAATACCCTCTTTTACTAGAGGGTCATGTATCTTATTCTCTACACATATTTTCTTTGTATTTTCTCTTTTTAAAACTTAGTTACTCACATAAGCATCGAAGTACCTTGCAAGTACACCCCATCCTCCTCTATAACGTCGGTGAACACAGGAGTTCACGGAGCGTGGCAGGCTACTGATTCCTTTCTGATCAGGTGAGATCAGCGGCGCCGTTTGTGGGAACTCTTTGCTCCCCCGTTCTTTCTCTTATCCAAGCATAGAAGCTCAAGAACCAAAGCAACTTCCAACTTCCATTCTGATCATGGCCAGCCCACGCGAAGACAATGCTCCGGAAATCGCCTTCGTCCCATTCACCAACGGTGACGGCCACGACCCCAACGTGACCGTTCACAACGACGAGGGAGACTACAGGGACGGGCACACCACCTCTCCCTTCTCAGAAGACACGACCTTCAACGCCGCCCCGCGCTTTGAAAGCCCGACTGTCTACCAGCCCATCCCGGTACCAACCGGCGCCGACCATACCATGGTGGCTCTATTCGCGGCGATCAACCAGACCAACTTGATAATCTTCCAACAGAACGAGCGAATAGGGATGCTCGAGATGGAGCGACCATCACGCTCTCCCCCGCGGAGACATCGTCGCCTAGTTTCCAGCAGCCCCTTTCCTGCCCCGCGGAGGACACGTCACATCGATGATTCTCGGAGCCCTTCTCCCCGACTGGCTGGACGTTACTCTCATTTGGAGCGGCCGCAGTCAATGGCTTCCCAGAAGCGCGGCCGATCACCTCGTCGGAAGGAGCAACACTTCCCAGCTCAGAAGAAGAACAAAGCTGAAGGAGGCGTCGCTAAGCCAAGAGCCCGAACAAGAAGCCCTCCCCAACGGAACAGAAACAATCAGGGATTAGTCTCCCCCTCACTGTCACCTGTCAGGAGTGACGAGGACGTCCAGCGCTCACCACTATGTAGGGCCATCAGAGAGGCCCCACTGCCCATCGGGATGGAGAAACCCTCGCTCTTGGCAACATACGATGGCACGACTGACCTAGATGACCACATAGAAAACATCGACGCGATGCTCGACTATCATAACGTACGGGGAGCCATCAAGTGCAGACTTTTCCCCACTACCTTGAGAAAGGGTACCATGACGTGGTACAAACGCCTCGCGTCCAAATCTATCACCTCTTGAGGCAAACTAAAGAGGCAGTTCTCCAGGAAATTCACAGCTTCCCGGCGCCATCCGAAGACAGAGGTAGCCCTGGAAGCCATCATCCAGGGGAGGAACGAACCTCTTCGAGATTACATAGAGAGGCTCAACCGAGAAGCTGTCCAGGTGTCTGCCACAAATGATATGAAGAAATTCTTGATCCAGATAGGCATACGACCTCACTCTGACTTTGCCAAAGTCGTCGAGATCGAACGCTCTCGCACCTTGAACGCTCTTCTCCTCAAGGTCCAATCATACATCCAGTATGAGGAGATAGAGGCCGCCAACACCGCCACGACACGCAAAATCAGGAAGGCCTCAGGGGCTCCAGTCATGAGGATGTCGATCCTCCTCGATGAGGCGGGGAGAGGAAAAGAGAGGACCGACCCTGAAAACAGAGGGGACTAGCGGGCCGGTTCACCGAGTACACGCTGCTCACAACTCTCCACAAGCACATCCTGTCCGAATGTATGAATTCAGAGTTTTAGAGGGGCGATGTCTGTTTGCTGAAACCGACGCCCCCGAAGCCCAACATGGAAAAATCCAAATATTGTCGGTTCTACCGGAGTCATAGACACGTCACGAAAGATTGTATCCACCTCAAGGATGCGATCGAGATCCTAATTAAAGAAGGGCACCTGAAACAGTACACCCGGAGAGGTGAGGCTGCCCGATAGGAGACTCGCGAAGCCAAGAGGGTGGAGGAAGTATCACCTTCCTCCGAAGAAGCCGGACTGCAAGTTGCCCTGTGTGTCTCCCGGCCAGAGGATTTTCTCCTCCTCAGCGAGCCTGCCAGACCACTTTCCGCCCACAGTCCATGGGAGGACTTCCCTGCCACCTTAGTCATATCTGACGGGGGCCCCAACAAACTCTCAGTCGA